GGCAACACTAGGAACAAAGAGGAAAATTTAATGATGCATTTAAATTTTCCTATGATTAGACAGGTCCCAAAGTGGGATGGGTTGCCCTTGGGAAGTCACGGGATCTCCACCATTGGAAGCCTTTGAGAAAGGCTAGCTGACAACTTGTTGGCTATGTTGTAGAAGGAGGGGATTTTAATTCAGGTTTAAACTGGTCTAGATTCATGGTTTGCACTTAGTAGTTTGCGGCTCTTTAAGGCTTTGTAACAATGGTCCAAGGGGTTTGTGCCAAAAATTCTGGTACCTTAAGCTGTAAATTATTTTAAATTATGTTACCCAATTACGTTACAAAAATATTTTTCCTCTCTGACAACAAACCTGTTTGAAGCATTACAGATTTGTTTCTATAATTATAGGTAGAATAAAACTTTATGTTTTATAATTTTGTAATGCAAATTTTAATTTGGAGCTTTTTAGGCAAAAGCTATTATAAGCACTTAATGAATAAGCTTAAAAGAAAATTATGAGTCATATATTAAGTCACCCTAGTTGTTCAAAACACATTTTGTTGTTGTTGTTGTTGTTGTTGAAAGGGGTTTGCCAGACAAAAAATACTGGGAACCACTGAACCAGAAGATCTGAGGTCCGTCCCTTCTAACTCTAGTTTCTTGGATTTTGTTCCCAGTTATTTCAGTACAACTCAAAGAAATACATGGGTTACAATTAGTAATAAAGGATTAGTCCTCACATAAGCATATCTCTGTTCCTCTTCACCTAAACTGTCATTAGGAGGGATTAAGGGAAATTAGGGATTCAGAAAACATACTAACTTCTTCTGATCCTATGATCTATGAAATCTACCTCTTTTTTCATTACAATTTATTCTTAATAACAATTTATACTTTCTGGAGGAATGGATGGGTTTTAGTAGATAATATGGCAAAACAGAAAGAATATTGGATTGGGAGTCACTGGATATCTCCAGTGTGGTACAGTGGGAAGAGCAATGGTTTTATAGTCAGATACGTGGGTTCAAATCTCACCTCTGACACTTAACTATCTGTGTACACACCTAAACTCCCTAGGCTTTGGTTTTCTCATCTGCAAAATGAAGGCAGTGGAGTGGATAGCCTCTGAGGTCCCTTCTAGGTCTACATCTATGACGTTAGGAGTCAGGAGATCAAGATGTAGGGCTTGGACACGTCAGTTACCCTCTGGGTCTCACCTTTAAAATAAGAAGATTAGACTACACAATCTTGAAGGTGACATCCAGGTCTAACATTCTGTGATTCTCTCAAATATCCTATTTCTTGACCTTCCTCCCAACCATGTTTAATCAGCACAAATCTCTCAGCAAAAAAAGGTAGGTGGATGTACCCATTCTTTCTGGTTGAACTTCATCTTACAGAGCACAGGATGAAAGTTTCTTAAATAGCTTTCAGATCCCTATAAAGTCAACTCCCCAATATCAAGGCCCAAGAGAAAATCTATGTTGTAATGTGAGTCTTGGGTAGTTTATGGAATACAAAGGTTAAGGCTTTATGCATTGAAAGTAAGAGTCCACATCTCTACTCCATGCTTCCCCTAATTTTAATGGTTTTACGGCAGGTAAAGCACAGTCATGTTTACCCTAACTTCCCCCGCCATGTTTTAAACCATTGGTGACCTTTTCTCCAGTTCCAAGGGAAGCATCAAAGTTTCAGTTTGATTCTTCTTCTAGGTGGAGTGAATAAAAGAACCTTTCACTATTCCTTCTCTTGCCTGATGTGTCCCACTTATAATGAAAAATAAATTAATTTTTTTCCAACCAAACTAATCAATTAATCCAACCAAAGGATTTATCATTCTCATTTGGTGCTCCCTGGGCTCCTCTGTACTTCACTCTCCCATCTTCACTCAGAGCACAAGGCAAAAGTACCCACTCTTTCATTTCTAAGTGCTGGTGTATAGATTTTACAAATTTACATTTTAAAAGTGCTGATAGATCTTTGAATGGAAACAAATGTGAAAATGAAGCCCTCCATACACAATCATATTAGCACGCACCAGAGGAACAAAATACATTTTATCTGTGGGATGAAGAGAAATGTCAACAGAGTTCAGTGCATTTTTCTTAAGAGGAAAAAGCTGTGCAAAGATAACATCAATAGAAGTGGTTATTTTAAGTAAACATAATGTGACTAAAAGCCAATAAGTAATTCAATTAAATTCAAGCAATTGTATGCAATTTACCAAGCATTTATTAAACACCAATTGTATACAATATACTGTGCTAGAATTTGGGAAAACTTCAAGACAAAAAAAAAACAGTCTCTCAAACAGCTTACATTCTACTTAGGAAACAAGATGTGCACAAATGAATATAATTTGCATAAAGAGTAATGTCCAGTTGTTTCAAGATGAGAAGGCACTAACAGCTAGTGGGTGAGTGGGGGAAGGATCAGGAAAGGCTTCTTGAAGGAAATGGCGGCTGAATTGTGACTAAAGGAAGACAAGGAGTGAGTGGAAGGGAGGAGGTTGAGAGTAGGAAGATCATGGCTTTGGAGTCTTGATTCTGACATATACTAGCTATGTGACAAGGAGAATGTTTTTGAGCCTCAGTTTTCCTCATCTGAAAAATGGGAATATTATTAATTCTCTCAGTTTACAAGGTGGCCGAGAAGAATATCTTTCTAAACCTTAAAAGAGTGTATTGATAGTATTTGTGAGATGGTTAAAGTACTTATTACCCCTTCTTGAGTTGTATCTTCCCCCAACCCTACTGCTCCCCACATTTGGGAGTATGTAGGAACAGGAGAAGCATGTGGATCATCTATCTAGATCCAGGACAAAGCACTTGCATACATTATAAAAAGTTAAAAATTCATGTCTTTTCTCTGAATATGGAAATGGCACCCTTGATTACCAATCAATCAATTAGCAAGCATTTATTAAGTACCCACTGAATGCTAAGCACTATTCTATGCTTTGGGAATATAAGAGAAAAGTGAAACAATTCCTACCCTCTAGAAGATTATATTCTATTAGAGGAGACAATAGGCATTTAAGTAAGAATATATATATAAAAAATAAAGATATTGGAGGGAGGGAGTGGAGTAGGGAAGCCACTACAGACTACTGCTTCAGGCAGATCAGATAGAAGGAAATGTTTGAGCTGAATTTCAAAAGAATCAGGGGATTCTAAGCTTGGGAATAAGCTGGGACTTCATTCTAGGAACAGGGGACAGCCCTTGCAAAGATGCACAGAATGGAGATGAATTACTCTAAGGTACAATAGATGTTTTGTGCCATCAATGAAGTGGACACAAAGATAGACAGATCTCAAATAGATAGAAAATAGATTTTTTGCCATTGAGAATTTTCTGTTAACAAAATGTAAAAGTAGAAAAGTCATAAAAAATCCCTCCTCTAGGGGGTAGAATCCAATTAGTTGCCTACTCTGCCTAACCCTAGTTCCAATTCTGAATGCAATAGATGATATAGTGTCATATAATGTCTTGACAATAAATCATATCAGATTTCATTATAATATCACATCTTCTCTTCTAGCTGAAAACTTCACTAAGGCTTTTAGAACTGAGAGAAATGATTATTTCACTCTTATGTTAATAACCAATTATTAATTAAAATTAAGATTTTCCCTTTTCTATTTCTTCATTCAGAAACAAACCCTTGTAGGTTATACACCCAGACCTTGTAAAGGACACCGATGATAGATGAGATTGCCCAAATCCTCTGGGTACATGCTTCTCACCCCACCCAACCAGAAGACCTTGGAAGGAGAATCTAATCTAGGGGGGATGCCTACCCCACCAGAATTCATTATTCACTGACTGGGTGGAGGAGGAGGATATATCCTTTTGTATGAACTGCCCCAAGGAAGGAATGATCTGGCTGAGATGAGTCTCTCTTTGCCCTCCAGTGACAAGAATAGAGTCCAGTACCCAGCTTCTCATTAGAATAAACCCACCTCTCATTATAATTTTGATTCTCTCACTAATTGTTAACCAGAGTTGATTACTGCCTATTGGGAACAACCACTCTTCCAAGGGTATATAAGCATCAAGAGGCCTCCATGAGAAGTCTTTGATTTATGAGAGAAAGCCAAATGGCCATCCTTTCATTAATCATTCACTAACCATAATTAATAAAATGATTAATTATCAAGAAACTGTTATGTCTCTTCAACTTTTTATATATCATAGAACACCTGTATTGTATTAGATTGTCACTTCATACTATACTATACTGCACCATATTAGTATTGTACTCCACTATACTAAACACGAATTATCCTACACTACTACACTACCCTATCATCATTTCCAACTTTTTGTGGCACAATTTGTTTTTGGGTTTTTGGTTTTTGGGGGTTTTTTTTGACAAAGATATTGGAGTAGTTTGCCATTCTTATCCAGCTCATTTTACAGATTAAAAAAAAAAAAAACCTGAGGCAAAAAGGGTTAAGTGACTTGCCTAGGGTTACACAGATAGTAAGTGTCTGAGGCTGGATTTAAACTCAAGAAGATGAGTCTTTCTGACTTCAGAACTGGCACTCTATCCACTGTGCTACCTAGCTGCCCCCTAGTATGCTATGTTATGCTACAATATATATTATACTGTATTATATCATATTATAACCTAATATACTACAATAATATTGTGATGTATTATATTATTTATATTATATTCACAATTTCCCAAATTAATGAAGTAATCTCTTGAAAAGTTAATTGACATTTTAAAAAAGAAAACGACAACAAGAAGGCATTAGATTAAGTATCAGGAGATCTGGGTTTATTTCCTGGTTGTGCCTTTAATCAGAAATATGACTAAGTCACCTCAATGGATAAGGGAGAGTTATATAAGCAAGATAATGCAGAGAATTTCTCAGATCACTTCTAGCACTAAGTCTCTTTGATCCTCAGAAGGTCACCTTTGGGAGAATTCACCTCATATTGAAAATTGTGTGGAAGAGACTGTACTTAAAGTCAAGACAAGTTTAAATCTTATTTAGTTACTTATCTGCTGTGGGATCCTGGTCAAATCATTTCATTTCTTTAAACCTCAGTCTTCCCATCGGCAAAATGGGGGATATTGAAGAATTCACCCCATGGAGCTGTTGGAAAACCCAACAGGGACAATGCATTTAAAGTGCTTGACAGAATATAAAGTGCTATGGAGAAATGGAGGTGACCAAGAGTTCTAAAGGCCAAGCAGAGACATGAAGCAGGGGCATGTACTATCCTTGCCCTGAACATAGACACTGTCTCTTGCCCAAGGAGCATTCTAACAAAATTTGACTTGGCTCATCACCAAGCTAGCTTCAGGCTAATGGACTTTTCAGTCATCATCATTGCTCCAAGTTACAGAGGGATCACCATCAGTGGAAATGAAAGGCATACACGATCTAGAAAAAAAAAAAATTTAAAAGGTCTTGCTGCACTGAAAAACAAGTCTTAAATAACCAATTTAATTGAGTTGAAAAAAGGCCTGGCCCACTGAGATCAACAGCAGCAGATTTAAACCAGAAATAATGCCTACTGTAGAAAGTACAAGTCAGATACAGTCAGGGTCCCAAAGGAATTTCTTCAACTTGTTCTTTACCCACATTACAAATTCTCAAATACAATGATAATCTGATCAAAAGGATCATTGCTCCAGACCATGGAGGCCAAAGCATCTTACCAAAATAAAAAGATACAAAATCAGCTTTGCATTCTGTTTTCATTAATGATATTTATGTCTTTCATGCAAAAGAGGGAAATACAGAGCAAATCTCCTTTCAGAAGGCTCAGAGAAGTCAATGCATTTTAAACAAACTTAGTGCTTTATAGCAGGAGGCAAATAAGTTTAGAGGTGATTCTATAATCAAGCCTGTTCCCCAACTAGCTTTCCTGTGGATTCAAAATAGCATTGTAAAAGAGGTCTTAATCTTTTTCAAATGTAATTGGTAATCCATAGGCCCTATTATTCAAGTATATTTTTTTCTCCAACAAAAAAGTTTTGCTTTCAATGAATGTTTTTTTCCTTCATATAGAACTCATCCTTTTTGAATGGAACTCCTGTAAATTTGCTTCTAGTAGGAAGAGAGGAAGGGGAAAGGCGAGGAAGGAAAAGAAGGAAGGAGGTGAGTGAAGAAGAGAGGGAAGACTAAAATAGGAGAGGAAGGAGAGAAGGAAAGAAGAAAGGAAGAAGGGAAGGAGGGAGGGAAAAAAGAAAGAAGGGAAAGAGGGAGGGAATGAGGCAGGGAGGAAAGGAAGAAAGGGAAAGAGGGAGAGAAGGGGAGGTAGGGAAGGAAAGAAGGGAGGAAGGAAGAAAAAAAGGAAGGAAGGAGAAAGGCAAAGAAAGAGGCAGCTGAAAGAGATCTCAAAGGCAATTTTGTCCCAGTTCCACCCCCAATTTACAAATGAGTAAACTGAGGCCTAGTGAGGGTAAAGGATTTGCTCTAGCTCATAGAGGTAGCAACTGGCAAATGCAGTACTCAAATCCAAATTCTCTGAATCTAGCACTCTTTCTATTCTGTGATCCAATATTAGCCACCAAAAAAGTAAGTCTCAGAGGCCACTTGAATTCATCAATTGCAATGGGCTTGATCTACTAAGTTGCCTATGAAGGGTGATAAGCTATATACTATGTTCCCTCTATTTGATTCCAAGAAAAACTACAAAGGAAAGGCTTCACTGCAGTAAGCATTTTTCTATCTCATTTAGCCTTTTACTTTTCTATGATGGCCTTAAATAATGATAATCATTTTGAAATGAAATCCATAAGAACATCTTTTGTGGGAAATCTATTCTCATGGGCATGTTCAATAGACTTCTCTATCGATAAACAGCAAATTGAAAGAGCTCTAGACGAGAGCTGTGTCATTCACATTCTACACTGCCATCATTCTCAGAGGAGAGATGCTAAAGTAAGAGCATTTAGCCATTTCCCCAGCACAATCCACGCTGCATGTTGACAATGTCCCAAATCCAGCTGGATAATGTCATTGGAAGACACCATTTCTCCACAAATATATAATGATTGGCATCTCAACCTTGGGTTTATTTGCCTAATGTGGTAGAGCTGCCAGTCTATGGCATTCCATTTCTGCTAATTGAGTCTTCCTTTTGAAAATTAACAATGCAATTAATAGCATCCAGACCCAGCCGTGCAAAGTTGTAAACGGAATCTGATAGATTCATTGAACCTGGGATATTACAAGCTTACTTGATACCTGCTTCTCTTAGAAATATTTGTATTTCAAAGGAGGACTGCTGAACATAAGAAAAAGAAATGAATCACTAATGGTGGAATTATAGGCCTCAGACTGGGAAAGGGCATTCTTTTTTTTATATGTGTGTAGGGTCCCTTTGCCCACCCCCACCCCCCCACATCAAAGGGTTGCTACCCGACTGAACCAAGGACTTTTCCTGTCACAATAGGTAATAGTTGTTTTGAGGCAGGGGAGAGGTTTGAACCAGTGACTACAAAGCTCATTCCACTCTATATTGCTGCCTTACTCTATGGATCGTCACAAAAAGTGGCTCTGAGGAATTATTCTAAGCCTTATTAGTTAGTAGCCCAGAAAAAATAAAGATTGGATTTGGAGTTGTGGATGTTACTTGGCCTTGTAGAGGCCTTGGGATAGTGTACTGGGCCAGTGGTCTCACCTGTTTGGAGCCATGAGGAAGTCACATCCAGAAAGTCACTAAATCTCAATTAGACCAGACCTCAATGGCCACCTCTTCTGATTTATACATGAAAAAGAATTCAATGTCCAACATTCCTGACAAGGGGTAATCCCTGGTACAAACACTAACAAGGAGAGAAAAAAAATCCTCCTCTCTGGAGCTAGAGAGAACAGGCAACTGAGCGCTAAGAATGGAGCGAAGAAGAGAAGAATTCAAATCAGTCCTTAGACACTTACTAGCTGTGTGCCCTTGGACAAGTCATTTACCCTCTGACTCATTTTCCTCTTCTATAAAATAGGGGATAATAATAGCACCTACTCCCAGGGTTGTTGTGAGGATAAAATGAGATAACTGCGTAAAGTGCTTTGCAAACCTATAGAAATGCTAAGTGCTTTGCAAACCTATAGAAATGCTAACTATTTATTACCCGTAGCAATTGCCACAGGACCCACCAACTTCTCCAGACTCAGCAGGTTAGAGAACACCCTTTGAGCAATGACAGGTGAAGAGGTGGATTAAGTGGCAAGACTGTTGTTCATCCTTCGCTCCTGAAGAGGACCAATGACATCAGGACGGTGAAGTCTTGACTGGCAAGTGAACTGGATTTAAGTGAGGCAGGGCTGTGCCACATCATCAGCCTCACTCTTTCCTCCACAGTCGATGGAGTCCACTGGCAAGTAGTCAAGTGAGGGTAGTCACTGGGGGTTTTCCTAAAACTTAACCAGTTTCTATAAAGAAGGATTATAACAAAGACCTTGGGCTTTCTAAGGCTCCTCCTTATATCTGTATCTGATTCATCTAATCAGCAGGAGTTCCACAAAGAGATGCTACGTGTGGGAGCTCCCATCTTCTCAAGAATGCCATTATTTATTCTTTTGATACTGCTAAGAATGGCTTTTCATTTTGGTTATCCTCAAAACACCCTTCACTTTATTTTGGTCTCAAGCTTTGCCAAATAAAGACGCACAGAGAAATGTGAACACAGTTTGGCTCATCATCTACCTAGGACTTTGGGGGAGTGCTTCCTCACCAATCAGTCTTGGGAGAGGGGAGAGTAAATATGACACAGATCACTTGCAAAATAATAGTAAATGCAAAAAAGAATCACTTTATTGGACATCTGGTGGGAAAAGAAGAAAATCCAAGTTAAAGTAAAAGCTTTGGAAATCATCAACATGACCTCCAAGTTTGAAACAATCTCCAACACATTTTGATTAACTGTCCCTGTAAAAATTCAGGTTCAGGGATTATCACAAAGGGATAATTTATTATTCATGATGCATTATTATCACTACACACACAATTGTCTCAAAATCCTCATTGGTGGATGCATTGCTGTAAGCAGCAAAGTACAATGCAAAGAGGGCTGATTTTAGATTTATAAGTTGGGGTTCAAATCCTCGGTCTGCCACTTGGGCAAGTTAAATTTCCTAACCCTCAGTTTCTTCACTTATAAAATGAAGGAGTTTGACTAGATGGCGTCTGAGGTCCCTTATAGCCCTGAAATACAAGCAATTCCCTGACTCTGTCTCTCAATCACAAGAATCCATAAAGATATTAATTATTCTCTTTAATAACTGTGTTATTGTCATTCAGTCATTTCAGTCACATTCAACTCTTCATGCCCCACTTGGGGTTTTCTTGGCAGATATAATGGAATGGTTTACCATTTCCTTCTCCAGCTCATTTTACAGATGAGGAAACTGAGGCAAACGGTGACTTGCCCAGGGTCACACTACTACTAAGTATCTGAGGCTAGATTTTAACTCACAAAGTTGTCTTCCTGACTCTAGATTCAGCATTTTATCCACTGTGCCACCTAGCTGCCCCAAATAACCATCTCCAATCACTAACCTCCAGCGGAGGGCTCTTTTTTTGCACACATCTCAGTAAGGCAGAACTAGAATGGTAATTATACCTTTTCTGTCCCTGTCTCACCCATTTAACATGTGATATTATGCATTAGAATTGCCTAGATTAGTGTCCTGTATCCCTACAAGACTATCTGAATTGGTAAAAGGACAGTGATTCCTTTACCCAAAAAAGTAGTTATCTACATATTACATTTTCCTGAGAAACTCTCAATTCAACTCACCAAGCATTTACCTAAGACCTCACCAGTTTTATGTGTTGTGCCAGGCACTAGTGAGTCAAAGACAACAACAAATACAGAAGCAAGCTCCATCCTCAAGTGGCTATGGGTAAAATCAAGTGTTAGTTCCGTCTTTTGCTTTTTAGCACTGAGCTTGTTCACAGGTATATAGATGAAAGTCATACTGAAATCTCTATGCCATATTTCTGTAACGTGTGTGTGTGTGTGTGTGTATGTGTGTGTGTGTGTGTGTGTGTGTGTGTGTGTGTTTTCCAACTATAGGTCTTATTACTATGGAATCTCATCAAAAAGTAGAGTCTCAGGGTTGGAAAGCACACAGAGTAGGGG